CAAGACAATGGCGCTGCCCTGGCTGCAATCTACCAAAAGACACTCTACCGAAGAATTTTCACTGTTGGTGTGAGAAGGAGCTGGATCCGCGATCAACACCTGGTCTACCACCATTCTCATGTGGTCAGACTTGCTCACGACCCCGGGTTCTTCCCAAGCCCTGTCCGCACCCTTGTGGCTCGACATGTCATGCAGGCCCTTGTCCTCCATGTGGTTTGATGGGCCCCACTCAGCACTGCTTCTGTGGCAAAAAGTCAGTCACTCGACGTTGTATTGATACCGACTACGAAAACGGTTGGAGCTGCGGCAACGTCTGTGGAGGGCTGATGCCTTGCGGAGAGCATCAATGTGAACGCCCATGCCACGATGGCCCTTGTGGCGCCTGTGAAGTACGGGTGCCAGCACGTTGCTATTGTGGTCAGATACAGAAAGACATTTTATGTCATGACCGAGCAGAAGAGAAGAAGAGTAGCCAGTCTCATGTCGCTGCAGATGGCGCTGCTACAATAGAGACATGGATAGGATCTTTCGAGTGTCCCAATCAGTGTGGACGCTCTTTCGATTGCGGGAAGCACACTTGCGAGCTGCCATGTCACCCACAAGACACACAGGCACCTCATTGCCCGCGATCTCCAGACGTAGTCACCCGCTGTCCTTGTGGCAAGACTGCTCTGCGCGACATGTCAAGCAACCCACGAACGACGTGCGAGGACCCGATACCAAATTGCGACAAACCTTGTGGGCAAACACTTCCCTGTGGCCATAAGTGCGAGCAGCTCTGCCATCAGGGTGAATGCCGTTCTTGTCTGAAGAACGTTGACATCTCATGTAGATGCGGGCGCACATCATCCCGGACGATCTGCCACCAGGGAATTGACGAGCCTCCTCAATGCAGACGCATCTGCAAAGTGTCGTTGAACTGCGGACGTCACGAGTGCGGCGAGCACTGCTGTGCTGGAGAGAAGAAAGCTGCCGAGCGCCAGTCGAATCGCCGTAAGGGTAGACCATTGGATTCGGCTCCTCGTCAGCCTCGCGAGAACTTCGAAGCCGAACATATCTGTACCCGGAGCTGCGGCCGGCAATTAAAGTGTGGCAACCCTGAACATCGCTGCCAGGAACTCTGCCACAAAGGTCCCTGCGGTACATGTCGCGATGCCATCTTCGACGAGCTTAGCTGCCATTGTGGACGGACTGTTCTACAACCTCCATTGCCATGCGGCACGAAGCCTCCGCCATGTCGTTTCAAGTGTGAGCGACCTAAGGATTGTGGACATCCTCAACTGGACCATAGTTGCCACCAAGATGACCAGCCATGTCCCAAGTGCGCTTTTCTGACGGCAAAGCCGTGTTTGTGTGGCAAGAGTGTTCTCAAGAATCAACCATGTTGGTTGACTGAGGTACGCTGTGGCCAGGTCTGCGGACGTACGCTCAAGTGTGGCACGCACAAGTGCCAGAAGCAATGCCATCGACCAGGAGAGTGCGAGGAGCCATGCACGCAAGCCTGTGGCAAAGAACTAAGTGTTTGTGGTCATCCGTGCCTGGCATCTTGCCATTTCCCTCAACCATGCAAGGAAGAGAAGCCTTGTCCACACAAGATCTTCGTTACGTGCGAATGCCAGAGGATTAAGCAAGAGGCCAAGTGCAATGCTTCGCGTAACGGGGACGGCAATCTAAAGAAGGTACTCAAGTGCGACGAAGAGTGCGCGCGATTAGAGCGTAACCGCGTTCTGGCTCTCGCACTCAACGTCGACCCGGAGCATCAAAGCGATCACATCCCATATTCAGACGCTACATTGAACATGTACCAGCAGAACGCCACTTGGGCAGTTACTCAGGAGAAGCAACTTAGACTGTTCGCTGCCGACCCAGATCAGAAGCGTTTTCGCTTCAAACCAATGCCCCGTAATCAACGCAAATTCATTCACCACCTTGCTGAAGACTTTGGCATGGACTCAGAGAGCATGGATCCAGAGCCACATAGACATGTGGCGATCTTCAAGACCCCGAAGTTCGTCATGGCGCCAATGCGAACGCTTGCAGATTGCGCTAGAACTCGTCAAATTCAACAACGTCTTGCTCCTGCGCCTGCACCAGCAGTGACTTCAGCTGCTCCCTTGCGTCCCAAGCCCAGCAACACCAACGGCGATCCCTACAACGCATTCATTATCTTGAACCCTCGCTTCGCACTTACTATCGAAGAGCTCAACCCCATCATCAGGAGCGTACTTGCAACGACATCCTTCCGATGCGAACTGGAGGTTACCTTTTTGCCCAGCGAAGCAGTAGCATTGAAACCACCTCTAGCAGCTCGTCTCAGCATTCCAGAACATGACATGCAGAAAATGCTCGAATCGATCCAAACACCATTGACTCAAGCTGTCATAACGCAAAATATTGGAAAGAACGTCCAGCTCGCACGACTCGATTCATCGCTCAATATCCTCCGCAAAGAGTCTGATGTTGGTCCTGGCTCCGGCTGGAGTCAAGTCGCTGCCTCAAAGGGTGTTCCGTTTCGCCAGATTCAAAAGACCGCGTCTTTTGGCAATAAGGGTGGCTTTGCGGTTCTTAGCTTAAGCAGCAAGAAGAAGAAACAGAAAGAGGCGCCTGTAGAGATTGCAGAGAACTGGGAGGAAGCCGAAGAGGAAGAGGAGCAGAAGGAGAAGGTTAGTGGCGCTAACAGTGCTGCCATAAGCGAGGATGAAGGTGCATCAAAGGATGTGCCTGAAGCTTCGAGTGGTACGCCTGCTAGCGATGAGAGTAATGCTGCGCCGACAGACGACACTGTACTCTCCACTAAGCCACTGCTTGGACGTTGGTCGGATTTGGATGATGAGCTAGATTAGCCGTCGCGCATGTGTGACACAGATACTGTCGGAAGAATAGAACAATATCAACCAGCTTTGCTGCAATCTTTGAATGCCACTGATTCCTCTACACGGTGACTTTACGATGATAATATACTACTCTTAACTGTACGGAAATATGTGAGAAATGTTTGATGTAATTGGTGAGCCACCTTGTTTTTCTCTCTTCATTATTCAGATAATTCTCAGCTCTATGGGGTATGTATGTAAGAGACAATTTTAGAATCTTTTTACATCGTCATATCGACCGACCATGAACGCCAGACCATCAAAGTATGATAATAGGCCAAAGTCTGTCTCGTATCTTGAGAAACAGACGCCTAACATACGCATAACAACAATTCCCACAAACTCCTTTGTCAACCCTGTGCGGTTCAAGAGCGGGCTAATCTTTCTCATGACCAATCTAGAAGTTATTCTGCTCCCGCTGTTGCCTCTCCGCCTCGCCCTCGGACACAATCCTCTTGCCCAGCCACTCTGTCTGAAAGCTTTCATTCAGCTTGGACAGATCTTGAATGACCAATCGACAAGTAGCCATGACAGCTTCCTTGGGTGTAATAGTTCCATCGGTTTGAACACGGAGTTCAAAAGTAGCGAAGAGCGGGTGGGGGACTTTGTACGCGGCGAACATGACGGCGGGGTTCTTGAGGAGGCGTTGCGAGAGGAGGTTGCCGAGCGTGTGGTCTTCTTTGTTGAATGTGAAGACGGCCGTGTTGGGAACGCCTGTTCCGCGTTGGTCTTGTGAGAGGGTGGAAGAGGGGAAAATAGCAGTTTGTACGTACGGGTCTCGGCCTTCTCCTCGACCTTCTGCTGACCGTCGTCTAGCAGGAAGAGCTCGAATCTAAACTCAGCGTCGTGGTCAGCTTTGTGCGACACATGGCGGTTGTTTTTTGAGCTGTCGCGCAGTCCACAGTTTGGGTTTCGCTCGATGAGTTGTCCGATTTTCGATGAGAAGGACGTGCTTGGACTCCTGCTCATGGTGGTGTATCTTGGTTTCGTTTGTCGGGTGGTGTCCGCTGTAGAGTAGTATCTGTCGTAGTGTCGCATACTTTTGAGGTTGTATATATACGTTGCAGCATGTTTTCTTGATCAGGCGCCAGTATCGTGTGCTTGTGGAAATGTGCGTCATTCCGTTTTTTTTTCACTCGTGGTGAAAGTACAGAACATACCGTTCAGGTACGTGGTCATGATCGTGGTGGATTGGCATCGTGGACTGTGGACTGCGCGTACAGAGGGTACTGTTTTGATGGAGAGTGAGTTGTAAAACACAGAGCTTACCTGTCTGGCGCGTTCATTATGCCGGCTCTTTCTTCTCTCTACACCTATCTACTCTTGCCTGTATGTATGAATACGCTTGCCGCGGTCGCAAGTGAGGAAGATGCGCGACGGTTGTAGAAGAAAGTGATCAGGATGAAACACCAGGAGAAGCAACGATGGGCGCGGTTGAGTCGAGGCCGAGGGGGTTTTGGAGGGTTGCGATGGCAAGTGGTGGCCGCTGGGGAAGGTGCTGCGGAGGTGAGGGTCGACTTCCGCGCGCGACGTTCTTTGTGCCTTCACCCACCGCCTTCGAGTGCTTCGCGTGGCTTAGTCACCGCATGGTCCGCGCCCACGGCAGCTTTCATATTCTTACATCAAGTGTGGCGATTGATCGAAATAACAGACTCTACTAATTTGCGTTTTAGATTCGTTGCATCCAGACCTGAATCTAGCCAGAAAAAAAATTAGTCCTTTAATAATTCGATTTACCAATACGACACAAGTCACGAAGATAGCATAAGATAAGGCAGCGATTCAAAGGTATAATGTTTATATCTCGATGTTATGCTCGAGTTGCATGATATTCAGAAAGCTCTAAGCCAGTATAGAAGCCCATCAACAAGACACAGATGGATGCCGCTGACAAAAAGCGACACAATGAGTTTTTTCCCGCAGTACCAACCACTTCCCTGAGCGACTGTGAGAGCGCCGTTCAACGCCACAAACACCATGCTTTCTCATGGGGTACGCCCACCGCATTGCGAAAAGCCAGACTCTCCCCACGCTAGAAGGACAACGCTAAAGGAGGAACATTAAAATTATATACAAGACAACGGTGACGGGACCTCACGGAGGCTCCCTTTGTGCCAATCGGAATTCCTAAGACCGGTTGATCTGCGCTTGCTGCATACCCGGACTTTGTTGCATCTGTGGGTTTTGAGGCGTGGCACTCCGACTAGGTGGTCGAGCATTCAATCCAGGACTGCCGGCCTGCTGTCTTGCCATCAGCCGTTGTTGTTGGACCAGTTGGGCCTGGTAGTTCTGTACCGCGTTTGTTTGGGGAGCATTGGCCATGCCACCGTTCTGTTGGAAGTACTGATTGTTCTGCATCTGTGGAGAAGGAGATATACCTGGAGATCCAGCTGCTGCGCTCATTGCCTGTGTACGTTGCTTAGCAAGGTAACGGGTGAGGTGGTCGGAGGCCTGTTTTGTAACCTGTTCTGGGGTCCATTCCGGATGCTGTACCTTTAACTGGTTCTGGAATGCCAGGAGCTGAGGCATATGTCCACTGGATAGGGGTCGGGAAGGCGTTTGCATGTTCCCATTACCCTGATTCATCCGTGGAGATCCAGCAGCGTTTGACATCCCGTTCATGGAATTGTTCATGTTTCCGTTCATCGCACCGTTCTGATTAGGAATAGGAGCCATCATGTTCGCGTTAGGAATACCGTTCATGCCCATGCCCTGGGTGAGGTTGCTAGCCATGTTGATCTGTTGCTGTTGCAGTTGGAACTGGTGTTGTTGAGTGGCGTTGAACTGGCCTCTTTGCATAGCCATGCGCATCTGATCTGGTGGTCCCATACGCTGAGCATTCTGCATGTTGCCCTGCATCTGTGCCTGGGGAACGCCCGGTGTGCCCATCGACATGCCAGACATATTACCGTTGGCGAAGTTGGCTTGCATGCCCTGTTGGGACTGGTGCGCCCGCGCCGCCATTGCGGGGCCGTTCTGTCCCTGTTGCAAAGACGGATTGGCCATTTGCGGAGGAACATTGTTGGTGCCTCCAGGTGTCCCGTTACGTTGCATTTGGTTAACGCCGTTTGCCATTCCCGGTTGCGCTTGTAATTGGGCCTGCTGCCGTGCCACCATCTGTTGCTGTTTGGAGTCAGTAGTGGACAAATTGGCATGATACTCAAGGCTTACCCTGGCCATCATCTCCTGCGCAATGTGCCTTTGCTTCAGCTTTTCTTCGCGTTCCCACTTGAGACGACTGAACTCCTGCGGTGTATGAACGTTGTTTTTAGGTGGCGCAGGCTCATGTGCTTTTCGAAGCGCAGCAGCTTTCTGGGACTCTGCTTGCTTGTGGGCGGCAGACTCGCGTTTCCTAGCCAATTTGCGCATGCCATCGATAATGGCGAGATGTCGGTTTCTCTCCTTCTCTCCACCCGTATTGGCGTAGTCGTAGGTCTCCTGCGGGGTTGACCTGGGGTCTGACCTTGTTGCTGTTGTTGCTGCTGCTGAGCCTGGAACTGGGCAAACACTGTCTTGTTGGCCTGCTCCAGCCGGCTCTGGTAGGTGCGAAAGTACTGCGTTTTAGACATTTCTGCTGGAAGACCCTCCAGTTGTACCCAGCGCTCAAAACACTCCCATGGCGTTCTTCGACCAGATCCAGACACAAACATCGACGGCAACGAGAGCTGCTGTGACACCAGAGACCAGTTGAATGTATACTCTTTCACCAGCGCCCGGAGTTTTTGGTCTTCTTCCCATAGCCATTGAGAAGGCGTGCGATTCTCGAAAAAGGCAATTGTAGGCATGTTGAACTCTGTAGGCGGTCTGAACTGATGGGCTGCTTGTAGTCGGTCGCGGACATGCTTGTTCTCGGCATTGAACAGGGCGACGTTGGTCATTTCTGGTGGTAAGTCGTTGCGACAGAACAATCGTCGACCTGGTGTGGATGGCATCGAATGTTCAGCTGACGTACCAGATCGACTAGGCGGCGAAGATGGCTCATCCTCGGAGTCATAGTCGTATCTGCTACGCTTCTTGGGCGGACCTCGTATTTGCGAGACGAGCTTTCCTGTGACGAACTTGGATACAGGAAGGATTGGTGGTTCCGAAAGAGAGAAGGGGTTGGTGTCGCTAGAGCCCTCAAACATCGGGTCGTAGAGAGGTAGTTCCCGGAACATGGTATCACTGGCGGGTGTACGGTCGATCTTCATGACGACGTCATTGAAACCTAGAGAGAACAAACCGATAGGAGGGGTAGCATTAACAGGAGTAAGGACATCATCCTCGTCACCGTATGACTCGCTCTCTGTCTCATGCGTGCTAGAATGGACAAGATCTGGCGTAGGAGCATCGTTCATATCCTCGTCGCTGCTTGTACGTCTGGCAGACTTCGGAATGCGTGCGTTGACCTGTAGTGTCGTTCGCTCTTCAGGCGTACTGCTCACGTATTCGGCACACCATTCCGCAAAGGTAGCGGCGAGGGCCTTCTTCCATTTCCTCTCTTCTTTGAAGTCTGTCTGCATCCACTTCATTTCAAGGAGTAATTGATCCTGATGGGTGAATGGGCGCTCGGGTTCGACCGCCTTCTGAAGTTGCCTCAACGACCATCGATTAGCATTCTGCAGCTGGTACACTCTCTTCAGGATCTTATAGTCTTGATGTTCCCGAATCATAGCGAGCGTGCCAGCTGTCGACACCGTCTTCCTTGCGGATGCCACAAGTTCCTGCAAAGGCACAGACCTAGGCGGGTGATGAGCCTGATACTTGAAAAGGCCTTCCAGATAGTCTCGGCTTGAATCTTCCGAAGCACCTTGGAGCGATGCATAGTCTTCGTTGTACGATTGCAGAGCTTTCGATGCCTTAGTCGGTGTCTTTTTGGCAAACACGACAGCCGAGATCTCTTGAGATTTACGATGAGCAGTTCGCGGTCGTGGAGGACTGGTAGACGCTGATAGATTGCTTGAGCGAGGGGTTAGCATAGTCTTGGGAGCTGCCTTCTCAGCGATGATCTCGGAGACAGACTTCTGTCGGATTGCTCCAGAAGCGACACGGGTAGTCATACGTTCAGGACGGGATGTTGGAGGTTGGGGTGACACTGTTGATTGTGCGTCCAGAGGGGGTACGTCGCGCATTTCGATGTCGATATCAGCAGGAGGGGTTGGATGATCGGCAGCAGGGGAGACGTGCTGTTGGTTGATGGCTTGTTCGGCATTATCGCGGTCCATGTTTGAAGGTTCCGCAGCAACTGTGGTTGGCGTTGGTAAGGAATCAACCGCAACATCATTGACAGTCTTGGTTCCAACCAAATCGAGACACTCAGTTTTCGATTCATGGGAACCATCGTCCACACCTTCCGTCAACGAATGTGCATCCCCAGCGGGCTGAGACTCGCTCAGGCGACTCTTTCCATCGCGAGCCAAACGTATTGCCTGTTCGTCCTCGATCTGTTGTTCAATATCGGGTGTAGGGGAGTCGTCCTCTCTTGCTCGAGCGTTCTCTCTTGCCTCCTTCATTCGTTTCTGTAACGCACGTTCGTGATCGTCTTTGACTTGCTGCGCGGCGGGGTCGAGAACATCGTCATTTGGTAAGGGTACGTGGTTGCGTTCTCTATAAGTCTCGGAGTCGGGACTGGTATCGGGCGAATGGTGTTGCGCATGCGGTGTCGCCTGAGAGTAGGGCCCGACGGTTGACGACGGTGAGGAAACATCGACAGGCGCATTCGCAGGTGGGATGGTAAGCCGTTCCTCTTCTTTTCGCTCCTTCTCCGCAGCCCTGTCCAACTTCCGCTCCGTCTCCTGCAGCCTAGCCTCCTGAACCTCTTTTGGTGGTAGATGCACGACCTGTGGTGGCTTCGGTTTGACATCCGTCGTGTCATAGGACGTAGCTGCATCCGTCTCCTCAGCAGTCGGCGATGCAATAGCACTAGGATCAACAGTGGATTTATCGATAGGGAGATCGTCCTGGCTTCCTACATCATGAACAGCAGGGCCTGCTTCAGATTGGGTCTTGTTTGCTACCTCTTCTTCCACCGCAAGGGAGGCAGCACGCGAAGTAGCCTTCGCGCGAGGGGTAACGTGAATGGTATCACTCTGCAGTGATGATTCGACCGAGGGTAAAGTTTGCGTCGCAACAGAAGGCGATGCTGAGGCAGCGCGAAGTTGGTCCTCGAGGCTTGGGGTACCGACAACGGGGGATGGTGATGGCTTAGTGAAGGGCTTGGATGAGTCTTGGAATGGGAGAGTAGCAGGTAGTGGTGGCTGATGGTCAGTAACGGCCACTGGGAAGGGCAGCGTTGTATCGTTGAAGCGTCGACCTCTATAAACGCGACCGTGTTAGCAGAATGAGGCGGCGACAACACGAATATCGATGACGGGAAGGTTGGGAACGAGTAGGTAGGGAACATCAGTCTTACTGTGAGATATCATTTTCGTCAAGGAAACGACGTTCCTCCTCATCAGGTTCGCCATAGATGAAGTCGTCTGCCCTGGGTTGGTGGCCGTTTAGAGTGGCATTGCAGGAACCCGTAACCTTCCAGAGTGCCCGGAGATGGCGCTCCAGTGCTGCGGATGTGAATCTGGGGACATTGAATTAGCACCACCACAACACGCCAATAAAACAAAACGAGCGATTTTTCCTTGTCGCATCGATGCATTTAGTCGATGTGATCGATCAAATTGCAAGCGCGATGGATAGTCGTCGACTTTGACTTACGCGGCTTCATTTGTCTTCTCCTGGCGTAAGGTTTCCCGTAAACTGTCGAGGGACATATGAAGACCGACGAACGGTGGCCGACATCCGTTATCCACGAGTGCCGCCGTTGTGATGAATTATGGGGGTTGTTGGACGCGTTCGTTGATGGAAATGTGTTTTGCGATATGCTGAACTGATGGGCGGGACTTGCGAGAACGTGAGGGAAGGGCTGCGCACGCCGCATTGCAGGGATGGCCGTGATAAGCCCTGCCTAGTCTGGTTCATTGGGCCAACATTGGGGCACTAGCTGCACCTTACTCCACCCGGCCTAGTCCCTGCCGTCTGCATCAAAAACTTCTGGATCTCCAAAGACGCGACAACTGAGCAAAACAACAACGCATAATCAACAATGGCAAAGAGAAAGAGAGAGACCGCTGAGAGTGCCGCCAAGGCGAAGGCGCTAAAAGCCACCAAGGAAGCAGTCGCCTCGTCCCCAAAGCAGCAGGCAACCAAGGAAAGTGCGATCCGCAAGAGCAAGGAAGCTACAGCCAACGGGAAGATGGATGTGAGCATGAGCAAACTTCAGATCGACTCTACCAAGGAAAATGGAGACGCAGTACCTGATGTCACGACTGTTCAAGTCATAACCGGCTCCTACGAAAGAGTTTTACACGGATTCGCAGCAGCTCTTCCCAGCAGTCTCTTCACCACACAGGACAATGCATCGACACCTGAGGCAGACAGGCCAAAATTGGATTTTACCGACACATTTCTTTTCAACGCCCATTCATCCTCCATCCGCTGTCTTGCTCTGTCTCCGCTGTCAGATGAAACTTCCAAGATCACACTAGCTACAGGTAGCACCGACGAGCGCATCAACCTGTATTCCATCTCAACAGCACCACCTGTCGCCTCAAAGCTCAGACCACAGTTGCCTTCCCTCCATGGCGGCTCCATCACGGAGAACCCCAAGAACAAGGAACTTGGCTCATTACTTCACCACTCATCAAACATCACAGCCCTCTACTTCCCTACGAGGGCGAAACTCCTGAGCTCTGCGGAAGATAGCACAATTGCCATCACGAGAACGCGCGACTGGACTGCCCTATCAACAATCAAAGCACCAATACCGAAACCCCAAGGCCGACCCAGCGGAGACACAGCCGGACCCGGCGAAGTACCATCTGGAATCAACGATTTCGCCGTCCACCCCAGCATGAAACTTATGCTCAGCGTGGGCAAAGGCGAAAAGTGCATGCGTCTCTGGAATCTCGTAACAGGAAAGAAAGCCGGCGTGCTAAACTTTGATCGCAACATCCTGACCGCAGTAGGCGAAGGGCGCTTCGCATCCGGCGAGGGTAGGAGAGTAATCTGGGACAAGGAAGGCGAGGAATTTGCCGTGGGTTTCGAACGCGGCATCGTTGTTTTCAACATTGAATCCAAGCCAAAAGCAAAGATTGCGCCAACCCCGAGGACAAAGATTCATCAGATGCACTACTTGCCGTCGGAGTCACATCCGGCCACGCTACTCGTGTCCACGGAAGATGGCCGCGTACTCCTCTACGACACAAATACCACGATACCTACTGAAGCATCAGAAAAGAACAAGGACGATGTCCCAGCTGCCAGATTAGTCGCCCAAATTGGTGGCCCAGCTGCAGGCATGACGAACCGTGTCAAGGATTTTGAAATCGTAACTCTCTCACAAACAAGCTTCCTGGTTGTTACTGGTAGCAGCGACGGTACTGTTCGTTTCTGGTTCTTAAGTACGGATGAGCTAAAGAGTGATGATGCGGGCAAGGCAAAGGGCTTTACCGCAGTTCAGGTCGGAAAGCTGCTTGGATCGTATTCCACGGGCACTAGGATCACGTGTTTGAAGGCTTTCTCCATGACTGGCAAACCTGATGTAGAGGAGGAGGAAGAGGTAACTGAGAAGAGTGGAGACGTATCGAGTAGCGACGATGATAGCGAGTAGTTTAGACTTGTAGTTGTAGCATTAATGATACCACCACCTCGTTCTTAAAACTTGATCACATCGTTTCGTTTTGAGTAACATGTCATACTATCATCTCGATATCTCATCCCATCTTGCAATCCAACATCCGCCCTCATACTTCTCTACAAATTCATAGTAACAGTCATGCTATTACTATGCACCAACAAGACAGGTGGCAATCCTTGGCACAACACCTCCAAATCACTAATATACTTGACACTCTCAGCCTCACTCTCACACGTACCTTCCATGGGACTAGGCAGCGTTGTAAAAACCACAGCCGTATCTTCGGAGTGTTGGCGTATGAGCTCGTTTAGAATGAGATGTTGAGCGCGACAAGGTAGGTCGTTGAAGGAGAGGGGGATGGCTTGTTGGGCAGGAAACCCAGATGCTGGGGAGGCGGTACCGGTGTCGGTGGGCTGGTGATATGACGATGCTGCGGCTGAATGGGGGCTGGCGGTTTCTGGGTTGTCGTTGTTGTCTGCGGCGAATTGGGTAGGCTCGCCGGATGTTACGATCATAGGATCTTGTTTGTTAGCTGTTGATGATTTGGGCGTGTCGACAAACGTTATCGATGGGCCGGCTGTTTCCTCCGAGGAGACCGCTGTTCGGGGAGTCGGATTCGATGTAAATTTCGGTAGTGACTGCCGGCGCATTGGGGGTGGTTTGACTACAGGTTTTGCGCGTGAGGAACCAGAGCGCTGCGAGGACGAACTAGCTACACTATGGGTCTTGGACCACTCTCCAGAGTGCAGAACAGCTGTGTCGGAAGCGGTGGCATCTGGGTGCGGCTTAAACGGCGTTACAGACTGCGTGGTCGGTCTGTCGTCCTTTTGCGAAGTACTGCCCTTGCGCGAACTCTTCCAGATAGTCTTGCGAAGGTCTAGCTGCTTAGTGAAGAGAGAGTTGCTGGGTGCCGTCCTTCGCCTTCTTAGTGACATTCTCTGCCCGCTGTAGTCGCTTTCATCACTCGATGCATCCAGGTCGTATTCGTCGAAATTACTGCCACTGACAATAGCCTCGCTATCAGACGCCATTGCTTCATCATCAGCATCGTCTTCTCTTCCACAGGCTGAGGATGGCTGAGTGTCACTGTCGCTGTCTTCCAGTAGCTCGACAGGTATTCTTTGGCTTTGCATTTTGATTCTCGTCCCATCGCCAAGATTGCTAACCGACGTCCTACTTTTAGCCTTGCGTAGCATCTTACGTAGTGCTGAGAAGCGCTTGGGGTTTATCTCTTGCCTGCCATGTTGAAATGAGGCGATAGGCCAGCTGGTTACGGCTTCAAGGATATCGACAGTTTGTGCTAGTTCCTGGCTGGCGCTCATACTTTCGGGTTGACGCAGACGTTTGATATCTTGCCACCAACGCTCGTCTTCTAGCGAATAATCGATATCACGACCAGTCTGATCGAGATCACCATCGTCTCTTCCGTTAATGATGACTTCGTACATGCTCAAGTCACCAGATGATAGCCAGAAGACGTGAACTTCAGCCTCAATGCGCAGATTACGCAGCAATGTGGTAACACGACCGCGTTCTTCCTCGACGTCTGTCTCGTACTCAACGAAGACACAAACTCTCAACTTGTACATGCGCTTCCAAGACGGTACCGTATGCAAAATACATCCAAGCTGAAGAATTAATGTATATGTGTCGAAATTGGTCGTCAGTACATTCTTCCGGACCGGCTCGTCGCCAGCAGTAGCGACCTCAGCTGACATCTGTATTGGCCACAGATCAATGTACTTCTTTGAAGAATCTTCAATCTCAATTTCACTCAGACCAACAAAGCTGAAAGCTTTCTGCTTTGCCGTAGGCTTCGCGGGTGGTACTTCGAGCTCTTGGAAACCCTTGCCTATAGCGACGTTTGCTTGTAACCGCAGAATCAAATCCTCGATAACTGTCACGTAGCTGCGTATGGCAATTGCGTTTTCCGGCTTCATAGCGTCCGTGGGAAGCATACTATGGGTATTGCCTGTGACGCGTCGCCTGGCTGCTGCCTGTATCGCTTTTCGAGAGATAGGATGATTTGCGGCCTTGCTAGACGGTCGTGATGGTTGGGGCGAAGGTATACCAATGGAGGGCTGCGCCTGCCTCAGCTCAGGCAGATTGTAAAAGCCCATGACAACTATGTTTGGCCGCATGCCACCCAATCCTGCACCTAGTACGAGATTACGCGCACCCCACTCGACAGCAGGAGATATGGCAATGTTCACAAACGCCTTGATCCTGGAAAAGTCGATATATTTCGTCCAAGATTGTTGTTGGCGTCTAGCCTCTGGCACAGCTTCGCCAAAGTTGCTGGAAACGATGACATGCCCGAGAACGAAGAGACCTCCCTTTTTCAACGAGTTGCAAAATTGAATCAATTTGTACTGTCGCCGCGGGTCGTTCACCAAAAGTAAGATCTGGGGTCTCCAGAACTTGACATGTTCTTGGCGTAAACGCAGCAGGTATTTTCGCACCTGATGATAGATGAGACCCTGACTCACATCACCCCATGGTTTAGGGGGAGTGGTATAATGAATCAGCAGAAAGATAATCATAAGCAGAGCAACACATCCGGACGCATAGAAGCCGTCGACGAAGAACATGGTAGCTCCACACGCGACGGTACCAATCGCGGCTGTGGGCCAGTTGAAGTAGTGGAACGATGGCCGGAAGTTCGGAGCAGATCCAATCTTGAGTAAAAAACAGGCCAAGTTGGTGACTAGGAAAGTCATGAGATACTAGAGCATGTTAGAATCTACTTGTGACACGTGTTCGCAGCACGCAGAGCACAAAGATACCCTATGGAAACTATAAGAAGATAGTACATACCGTCATTGTAATGAATGAAGCAATCTGGTTGATGTCGGCGAACATCGTGATTTGAGCAATGATGAAAGTAATGATAATAGCGTAGATAGGCTATGCCAATGAAGGCCCGTGGTTAGCATAGACGCAACAAGTGATAGATGCAGACAGCCTACCTCGTCGGACCTTTTAGTTCCTTGACCAAATAGAGAAAGCCCAGGAATTAGATGGTCGCGAGATAAAGCCTGGAGAAGTTTTGCTGAACCAATGACACCCATGAGCACCGAGAACAGTGATGTCGCCACCTCGCCAGCAAGCACGATGGCGCCGGAGATGTTGGTTAGCTGGATGACATTTGTGTTGTTATAGAAGGTTTCGCGTGCTATCGACGCTGCCATTGCAAATATGACGAGTGTATATAAGACGAAGGTCAAACCTATACCGTATAAGGTCCCTTTTGGAATGGCTTTGCTTGGATGCTTCAAATCTCCGCTCATGCTTGCACCAGCTAGGATGCCTCCTGTGGCTGGGAAGAGAATGCCGAAGAGATCTTGGAAGTTCTCGCGGTGATGATCAACACTTCCCGCGGCGCCTCGCGTGAAGTGGGGTAGCAAGTTCTGACGAAAGGTGTCCATGCTGAGACCTGTGAACACAATGTCCTCTTTCGGATTCGTAAACGGAGGCCTGACGACAGCTGACAAAGGTATACTGATAGTAGCGACCAGTAGAACAAGTAGTAAGCCATTGCTGCAACGAGCGAAGAGACCACTTCCAGCAAGACAGATGAGTGTGCATGCTGCTAAAACTACGGTGGCCCAAAGGAACTGCCACCAATAGCTCTGAGGTAGCCACTCTGCCATGTCACCTCCATGGGTACCGAAATTTTCGATGAGGCAATCGATGAGACCGACAGCGTTCAGTGAGGTATTGAAGACCGAGCCAAGATAGTAAACGATGCCTATGGATCCACCAAATTCAGGTCCCAGGCTTCTGGAGATGAGGTAATATGCTGCATCCCATGTTAGTTGAGATAGAAGACTGTCTAGACGTTGAACTCACCGCCTCCTCCTCTGACTGTACCATTTGTAGCAATAGCAGAGATGTTCAAAGTAGTCAAAAGATTAATGGCGTATGCTGCTATCAGCATACCCATCATGCCAATCAAGCCGGCTTGACCAAGGAGGAAGCCAAATCTCAGAAACATCAAAATGGACAAAACATTGAGAGTTACAGGCACGAAGACTCCAGCAAAGGTACCTAACTTGTCAGTACCTCCAACGGGTCTGGGAAATGCGCCAGGCCTTGGTTTGGCGGTTTCGCTGACCGAGTGTCGTTTTCTGTCATTACTGGGCTCCTTCCCCAACGTCCATTGCGAAGTGCGGAAGAAGCTTAAGAACCAGCTGCTTGTCCCTCCTCGTGTACCCTCAGTCTCTTGGATGCCATCTAAGACGTTGGCATTGTCTTGATGCCGGCGTCCACTCCCTGGCAGCAGCGGTGTTTCCTCATCGGGAGGCGGTGACTGCTGTACGAAGGAGCGTCGGTGTAACCGCTCACTCTCATCTCGTGCTGTACGGGTTGCAAAGTTGGAACGAGTTCTCGGTAGGGTGAGCCTGGCCGTCTGGTCCGCATCCGCATCGGTCATGGTCTCGGCATTCGGAAACCTGGTTCAATGTTCCTGGCACGAGGTGTCACTGCGGTTCCGGTCAGGGCCGTACACGGGATGCGCCAACTAGTCGTGGATGTTGGTTTGTGGACGCAAGACATGGGCAGAACAGCTGGGAAAAGTGACAAGGAAACAGTACCGAGAAGCGATGACGCCGCATCTACATCGCCAACAGTAAACTCGTCTGCTATGCTTCACTTAGCGGCTTAGCGCTCGCTTCACTGGGGAAACATGCAGGGCTTAAAACGGCGTGACATGGTCATCCCGCGCGTGGGGCGCCACATCTCTCCGACAAATCGACGAATGACCTCAACCTCTCGGCACAGGCCTCGGTGCAGCCCGTCTCAGGTTTCGTTGCTTCTTCTGCGCGTCTTCATCTCGTTGCTATACATCTCGCGTAGCATCTCGAAGCCTCGCGTTATGCATCTGCCGAGGATAGCATTCACACAACCCCTATAGCTTATTTTAACGCTCAGAATTCCTGTCGCGACGTTAGACGCAGATAGCCGGAGCTCGTGTTTCTTATCACAAAGCTCTCCAAAGAGGCTCGACAGCAGACGCAGCCCAATATGTCGGGTGAGCGTTCATCATCCACGAATGCACAGGCGGTGCCATCGTCGCGAGGTTCTCGTGGAAGTTCCCCGTCGCAATCTGTTCGTGCAGGCTCTATCGCGAGACTGGGTTCGCCCGTTCCTTCGCTACCCAACGGTACACCTGCCGTACGCCAGATACCAACACCTTCCCAGACGGCCAACTCGTCGTCAATACAAACACCTCTACCTGGACGCACAGATCCACAGTCGTCGCTGCCCGGCCCATCCGAGTCGAATCTCTCTTCGGCGCTGAAAGAGTCACTGGGCAATTCACCCCACGATTCGGCCCACCCCCGATACGCCCGCTTTCACCCGCCCAAGAGGCGCCTCCCCGTGTCCCACCCAGCGACTACGGTTCCTTTGACGGTCGAGGTCGCTCTCCTGTACCTCACGAAGATCCTGAGATCGTGCGCCGACATTTGGTAGGTCACTATGCCTCACCGAGCAGGTCAAATCGTGGGTACATAGGCGATGATGATGCTCAATCAACTGGAAAGAAGCCAGAGGAAGATGAGGAGCAATTCTCGAGCTTGCAGCTTCAGGGCGGCGACATCACGCGACAGATATACAGGTGGAGTGAGCAGCAACAGGCAGAGGAGCAGGGCAAGTTCCAGCGTAGCAAGAGCTTCCATGGGTCGTCTCGGCGCAAGCCTGAGGATGAGGCGCTAGACATTGACTCCATCCGACAACCAGGCGGCTTCAGGCGGAACTACCTGCGCAGAGCTGCTGACAGTCCCTCCCCTGGTCCAGGCCCATCTGGTTATGGGACAGTCCGTCAGCCACGCCCACCGCCTCAGGTCTTCACGAGCAACTTCCTTGAGTTTTTGACTCTATACGGCCACTTCGCCGGTGAGTCTCTCGAAGAAGACGACGAGGTGCTGGGCCCGGATGAATACTTCTCCTCCGATGCACTAGATTCCGGTGCGCAAAGCGAAGACGAAGACCGCGAGTACGGCGAGTCGAGCGCACTGCTGACCCCCGGCAAGCGGAGGAAGCGCAAAGTGAAGAAGACGGGCACTGGCAGCCCTACAGGTGCAGCCATGCTGCTCCTCAAATCCTTCGTTGGTACAGGTGTCTTGTTCCTACCCCGAGCCTTCCTCAACGGTGGTATGGCTTTTTCGAACTTGGTCCTTCTTGGTGTGGCAGGACTCTCCTACGCCTGCTTCGTATTGCTCGTCTCTACTCGTCTTGTGGTGGAGCACTCGTTCGGTGACATGGGCTTCCATCTCTACGGAAACTGGATGCGCAACATGATCAACACCTCTCTTGTAATATCGCAAATAGGCTTCTCGTCCGCCTATATCGTCTTCGTCTCTGAGAATCTGCAAGCGTTCGTCCTTGCAGTGTCCAACTGCAAGACCTTCATCGACATCAAGTACATGATCATGATGCAGATGGTCATCTTCTTGCCCTTGTCGCTTTATCGAAACATCAACAACATCCAAAAGCTCGCGTTGGTAGCAGATCTTTTCATCCTCATGGGCCTTGTATATCTGTATTATTTCGATCTCTTCACCATTGTCGATCAGGGCGGCATTTCCGATATTGTCAACTTCAATGCTAAGGACTGGACGCTCTTCATCGGGACCGCCATCTTCACATTCGAAGGCATCGGTCTCATCATCCCCATCCAGACTGGCATGAAGGACCCGAAGAAGTTCCCCAAGGTCCTGGGAGGTGTCATGATCATCATTACTGTCATCTTCCTCAGCGCTGGTGCCCTGTCCTATGCAGCATTTGGATCAAAGACTAAGACTGTCGTCCTTCTCAACATGCCTCAGGACAACAAATTCGTCAACGGTGTTCAGTTCATCTACTCGCTCGCTATCTTGCTATCTACTCCGCTGCAGATTTATCCTGCGATCGAGATTACCAGCCAGCAGTTGTTCAGCAGGACAGGCAAGTACAACCCGTACGTCAAATGGAAGAAGAACTTCTTCCGCTTCTTCATAGTCTTGGTGTGCGCCTGTCTCGCCTGGGCTGGTGCGGGTGACCTGGACAAGTTCGTCAGCCTGGTAGGAAGCTTTGCCTGCATCCCGCTGGTCTTCATCTATCCTGTAAGAATCTCTCCTGCTTCTGATCAACTCATTGCTGACAACGTATAGCCCATGCTCCATTACCGGGCTGTCGCACGAACAACGACTGCACGTGTAGTGGACGTGTTACTCTGCATTATCGGTGCAGTTGGCATGGTATATACAACAACCCTAACTGTTCAAAGTTGGATCCACGGCGGTGCTCCCAAAGCTCCAGGCTACTGCGACAGCCGGTAGACGATGGTTTGTACTCGCAGATTGAATTGTCTCTCGTTTCTCATTTCACGTTACATGTAGCCTTTCAGCGATGTGTATAGGTATCGATCTTTGGGTGCATCTCGTCATAGAAGTCGCGCTACGCAGGCTTGGTTTTCGGTGCATTTGTAAGGCCATCTCCTACACGTGCATGTCCGGATGGACAGAAGCGGCTAGGCTCAAGCCCGTATGTAAATCAGACTAGTCTCTTCTTTGCTTTTCGACCGCAACTGCACCGTGACATAAGTGTGAGTACATCACATGTGCTGCTTTGTCGTGTTCTGTGCCTCTGAATCTGCTAGCAAAAGGGCAAGTAGCATCTGAAACGGCGCGAGGCGAATTTCTCCGAAGATGCAGCGGATACCTAGCTGGTGACCGGGGCTCAGATACGAGACGATTCAATACTCGCGCAGAACACTTGGCGAGTAGGATACGAGCAAGCTACATGCAGGGCGCGAAAACACCGTAATCAGGAATCGGTACGAATGCAACGGCACAACTGTTGTCAAGGCATGCATGTGCGGCTGATGCTCGTATACGCCACTCATGGTGGGGTTTCAGATGCCGTCTGCTGTGGAATGGGATGGCACTTTGGAGGCGGTCAGAATAATCAAACTGCTAAGGCATCCAGACGTTCCCAACGGATGCAGGCAAAGTGTTGTCGTCGGCACGCTTTCCTACAGCTGAGCCCACACCTGCAGGTGGGTAGGCTAAGCTTTTGCCAGAGCGGAACAAGCGCGCAACAGCTACAAGGTGCTCACCGTTGTTCCAGCTCCCATTCCAGTTGAGTAAATGTACACGCCCCAAGGTCTCAGCTCGATCCCACACGTTTGTGATTGCAGTGCGTGATTCGTTAGCAGTGTCAGCCACGATGGCTTTGAAGCATTCTCTGGCTCCTTTGAGGTATGCGTTGCTGCCGCTCTTGCGTGAGATGCAGACTTGCAGGGCCAGACGACATATTGCTTCTCACCGTCTGATTGAGACATTGTACGGTGGGGAGCACATTGCGGGTAAACTTCCGCCGTTAGTGGGACGGATGGTGCAGCTAGCGACTGGGTTCCACCCATATCCTATATTTTGTTTTGGCTTGTCGGTTTTCTTCAAGTTGCTACTACCGACCATGTCAAAAAAAAAGATCATCAAACAGAGTTTAGAGACGTCGAGTAGTGACGCACGGCGATGATTCCAAATAGGGAGCCGCACCCGCGCTGACGTAGCGAATCCATGATGCTAAACGATGAGAGCAGAATTAGAAACACATCCATAAGCACAATCGTTGGGCCAGGTCGACGCCTCCAATGCGGCGACGGCGGCGCCCGTCAGGACACGAGTGGCATAGTTGCCGTAGTGTAGTATTGCAAAGAGAAATATTCTAGCATCTTGACATGAAAATGGTAGAGGAACGGGTCTAGCGTTGCTATTTTGGAGGTGCTGCGCCTCTTGGTCCCTGAGAAACGATGGATAGCGGGCGATCAGGTCAGGAACAGTAATGGGGACTATTGGCTGCATTCATCGCGGAAGCCGATGGACAAGGATGGTTCCGAGAGACATGACGAAATAGGGGACGATGAGGGACGGGCAGTGGGGATGAGATGGGCTTGTCGACGAAAAGCCAGTAGTTGCAAGTTGCAGGGACGACAAGCACGAGATTCAAGGGTGGTAGAGCGGCGTCACGGATGGCTGCGATACGCTGCATTGGCGAGGCTAGACAAGGTCGAGTGGAGAAGGGCGTCGCTGGGGCATGCTCAGTGCTTGGCTTTGGAAGATATAAGTCAAACACACCACCGCTCTTTCTCTGCTCACTCACCTGTCTGCTTCCCCTCCCACCCATATTTTCTCCCGTCCACCAATTGACACCGACTACCTTACGATCGCTTCCATTCATATTTAGAACCCTAACTTTCGTTTCGTCGCCATGTGGTAAGTCCCCGCCGCCCTACTATGGGAAGCTGTCCAAGCTACAGAGAAGCGTTGGAACTCGAGCTGACGACGACACTCACAGCGGTATCTTCGGTTACATCAACTACCTGGTGGAGAAGGACAGGAAGTACATTCTCGACACACTGATCAATGGTAAGCACCCGAGCAATTCCTT